TATGGTCAATTAAGATATGACAAAGGAGGCAAGAACATACAGTGGGGTAAAGACACTCTATTCAATAAATTCTGTTGGAAAAATTGGACAGATACATACAAATAAATGAAACTAGATTGCCTTTTTATACCATATACAAGAATAAACTCAAAATGGATTAAAGACGTAAATGTAAGAATCAAAACCATAAATTCCCAGAAGAAAATATAGGCAGTAAAATCTCAGACATTTCTCTTAGTAATATTTTTTTCTAATATATCTTCTTGGGCAAGGGAAACAAAGTGAAAAATAAAGAAATAGAACTACATCAAACTAAAACGTTTTTGCACAGCAAAGGAAACATCAACAAAACAGAAAGATAACCTACTGAATGTGGGAAGAGATTTGCCAATGATACATCATATAGAAGAGGTTAATATCCAAAGTTTATAAAGAACTCATAAACTCAACATCATAAAAACAATCCAGTTAAAAAGTGTGCAGAAGACCTGAATAGATACTTCTTCAAAGAGGATATACAGGTGGCTGATAGATATATGAAAAGATGCTCAAAGTCAGTAATCATCAGAGAAATGCAAATTGAAATCACAATGAGGTATCACCTTACACCTGTCAGAATAGCTGTCATCAATAAATCAACAAACAACAAGCGTTCGATGAGGATATGGAGAAAAGGGAACCCCTGTGCACTATTGGTGGGAATGCAGGTTGATGCAGCCACTGTGGAAAGCAGTATGTAGATAATTCAAAAAATTAAAAATAGAACTGCCTTACAACCTAGCAGTTCCACTTCTGGGTATATTTCCAAAGAAACTCAAAACACTTATTTGAAAGAATATATGCACTCCCTTGTTCATTGCAGTGTTATTTACAATAGTCAAGATAGGGAAGCAACTCAAGAGCCCACCATTGACATGTGGATAAAGAAGATGTGGTACATACATACAATGGAGTATTACTTGGCCATAAAAAGAATGAAATCTTACCATTTGTGGCAGCATGGATGGACCTAGAGGGCATTATGCTAAGTAAAGTTAGACAGAGAAAGGCAAATATCATATGATTTCACTTATATGTGGAATCTAAAGAACAAAATTAACAAACAAAATAGAAACAGACTCAGGACTGATGGTTGTCAGAGGGGATGGGGTTTGGGGTCTGGGTGAAAAGGTAAAGGGATTAACAAGTTACAAATTGGTAGTTACAAAATAGTCACTGGGATGTAAATTACTGCATAGGGTATATCAGGGGTTGGGGGAGTCACTTTGCAAAGTAGATTTAGACAGTAGACTGTCTAACCACTATGCTATGCACCTGAAAGTAATACAAAGTAATATTGAATGTAAACTGTAATTGAAAAAAAAAAGTGTTAGCTGTAGGAGAGTGGGATTTGAACCCAGGCAGCATGAATTGAAACTCTCTCTCATCATCACTGTATTGCCTCTAGGGTTTGAAGGGAAGAGGCTTCATTACTTCCTAGAACCCAGCCTGACCTGTCATTGCTGGAGGATTCAGGCTCTCTTGCTGATTTATATCAGGGATCATGAGTGATAAGAGCAGATTCACAATCTTTAGCATTTAATTTATTTTACTTTTTAGTTCTCGCTGCATGGTGTCACAATTTGATATACTCCTATAGATAGTGGCTAATGGTACAGTATATTTGTTGGGGGGCTGGGTGGGGCAGGTGGAGGGATTTAGCAAAAAAGAAAAAAACTCGTGGACAGGGACAGCAGTGTGGTGATTGCCAAGGGGCGGAGGGGGTGCTGGAAGGTAAAGGGGGAACAAAGGGTGATGGAAGGAGACGACCTGGGTGGTGCACACACAATGCAGTGCACAGATGATGTGTTGTGGAATGGTGCACCTGAAACCTGTATGATTTTGTTAACTAGTGTCATCGCAAGAAATTCAATAAAAAGGAAAAATAAATAAATTAAAAAGTAAAAATACTTTACATTTCCATGTGGGGATAATATTCAATTAATTGGAAATAGCAGAGGAATCTGAAAATGAGTTAATGTGTTAGTAATCTTTGATATGTTAAAGTTTGGTTCATAACATGTTTCAATATGCATTTTTGTACTATAGCCTTTTAAATGGTATGTGTGTGTAACACCAAATTTTTGTGTGTGTGACAATCTGAAATTCATCTATTAGAAATTTGTTTAATAAGAATATATGATTTTCTCTTGGTTGATATTCAGACTATTTACAGACTTCTAAACTTTTCCTCTTTTGATATCATTCCTCGGGTAAAATGCTGTTTAGCACTTGAACCTTTTAAACTTAAATTGGTACCTTGCAGTTGAATATTACTGACTTCCCTTGTTACTAGGTAATTACTTTTGTGACTAAACTGGCATGGAATGCTTTTGACCCAGGAGAAAATAGCGTCTCCCCTCCCCAGCTATCTCCCTTTCTTTATATGGCTATAAATACCACCCATGTAGCTCCCGCATTGCAAGGGTTCCCAAAGCAGTCGATTATATCATTTACAATGGTGAAGAGGGATTTGTGAAATTTTACCTAGAGGTTCAACTTTATCATTTAGTTTCCTCAATTCGTTCCTCTTGAGCCCTTGTGTTTATAGATGTTGATTATTTTGAAGCAGCAACTTTAAAAGCTTTATCTTTTACTCCTCTTCATAGGACAAGAGTTGGGAGAACAATAAAGCCAAGTGTGTGCTTCTCCCTTTTGTCAAAAAGAATAATAATCAAAACAGTAAAATAGCCGACACGTTGAGCACACCCTTGCTGTGTGCCAGACATTCCCCTGTGCTCGTGCTGTGGAATTCTCACAACACAGTGTAATACTTTTTACTATGATTATGTCACAAGTGAGGGGACGGTCTTAAAGCAGCCAGGTCGGTAGGACGTGTGAGTGGTGGAGATGCGATGTGAACTTACACTATGTTCCAGAAGGTTTCCTAGCATAATTTTTAAAAAATTTCTTTTTTTCCTTGATTGATTTTAGAGATAGAGGAAGTGAGAGGGAGAGAAAGATGGAAACATCAATGAGAGAGAACATGGATTGGCCGCCTCCTGCATGCCCCCCACTGGGGATCAGGCCCACAACCTGGGCACGTGTCCTGACCAGGAATCAAACCGGCAACCTCTTGGTGCAGAGGTCGATGCTCAGCCACTGAGCCACACTGGCCGGACTTCTAGCATAATTTTAAACCAGAATGTCAGTTGGATGTTGGGTGGAAAAATACTGGTGGTTTATCAGCTCTTTTTGTCCACATTTAAGAAAAAGAAAGAGCCCTGGTGGTGTGGCCCAGTTGGTTGGAGCATTGCCCCCTGCACCAGAATGCTGGGGTTCGAGTCCTGGTCAGGGCACCGGCTTAGGTTTCAGGTTTGATCCACAGCTGGGACACGTACAGGAGGTGACTGATCAGTGTTTCTCTCTCACATCAATGTTTCTCTGTTTCTTTCCTTTCCTCCCTCACTAAAAAAAAGAAGAAAAGACATGCATTCTATATATTCTTTTACTGTATTCACAACATAGTTCTTTTCCATGCTATAGATGTAGCACAGATTCCTAGGAAAGATGGTTAAAATCCTGGCCACTTGTCCAGGAGCATGTCTCTGCTGTGGCTGTGAGGGGAGCTCCCCGGGGCACAGATGCCTCTGCTGGCCACTGGAGAAAGGGAGGGTGTGGCCATCATTGCCAAGTCCTGGCGTTAAGGGCTGCCAGGCCTGGCGTGGCCTTGAACTGCTGCAGCCTTCTTGCCCCAGGTCCCTGGGTTGGTCACCCGTCTGGCCCTTATGACAGCTGGGAGCAATAAAGGGCTTCCTGTTTGAGCTGGCATCTGCACAGTGACTAATGGCTTTCTTAGTCTGTCTTTTTTTTTTTTTTTTAATTTTCCACTTTCAGTTGCTTTACTCGGCCTATTTTGACCTCTTCTGTGTTGCATCTATAATCTTGTATAACACTTTAGACTGAAAGAGTCTTACACATTATCTGCTTCTGCCTCCTACCCCCTCATTTATAGATGAAGAAGTTGACTCACAGACATGAAATGAATTATTCAAAGCCATGGGACTAGTGACCAGGACTAGAAGCCAATCTTCTGACCCTAGTGGTGTTTGTTTTCCCTGTTACAAAGTGACCTGTACCCCTTGTTTGCTCTTCCTGGTCCTGGCTTGCCGCCTCTTTGGTTGATCCCTTGGCTTTGTGTCCTGCACTGAATGAGGGAATAGTTTTTTGGTGTTAATCCCTGCTTTGGAATTACTGTGTGACTGACCCCTTCTAAAGTCTCTTTGTGCCTTAATATCATTATCAGCAGATTAAGTAGGACGCTTACCAGAGAGGTTCTTGAGAAAATATAAATGTAAATCACCTGTTTTTTGTTGTTGTTATTTTTAAATTATTATTTAATGGAAGAGACTTTTTGAAATTTTAATGAAAACAAAAAGTATAGGGGAAAAATCAGGTGTGACAGGTTTCATGTTTAGTAGGTGAGCTCTTACGAACTCATGAGAGAATTACAGAGACTTTAGGCCAACTTGTTATATAATGTAGTTCATTGGAGAGCAGACTGTTTTTTCTCCTTTGCACAATACCTGTTGGATCAAATTCTGCTTTGTCGGTGGTAATGTAGATTAATTTGTAGGTTTTACTTTTGATCTACTTAAACCTGGAAACATATTTGCTTGAGTTGTTTTAGCAGATCTGATTAATCAAGAGGAATGTAGGAAGCAACAAAAATAAATAAATAAATAAATAAATAAATAAATAATAAAACAAAAAAAAAATGCTGTGACATTTGGGTATAATAAAAAAAATTAGATGCTTAAGCTTAATCTGACATTTTCAATCTATTAACTTCTTGGAAACTCAGTTTCCCTAGATGTAAATGGGGAAAATGTACTTGGCTTACAAGTGAGAGTTATGAGGATTAAGCAAAACATTGCTTATAGTGCTTGGCACATAGTAGGTTCTTAATCTGAGTGAGCTTCCGTCCTTCCTAATGATTGAATGCTTTCCGTTGTGTTTAGATATCTGATATCCATGTCACTGGAGAGTCAGAGGATATGTCTGCGAAGGAGAGGTTGCTCCTGTGGACACAGCAGGCGACAGAGGGTTATGCTGGAATACGGTGCGAAAATTTCACTACCTGCTGGAGAGATGGGAAACTGTTTAATGCCATCATTCATAAATACAGGTACGGAATTTGTGGGATTCCCCCCTTCCCTTAGACAAATATGAGTTTCTTTCATTTACATTACGTTATTTACATTTTAAAATAATCTTGTTATTGTAGAAGCAATACATGTGCATGGCAGAAAATGAGAAAATACAGACAAGTGAAAGTGAAAACATCGCATTCCCACCACACAGAGATCTTCCCTGTACGCTTGGTGCATGCACGCAGGCACACTTAGCCATAATTCATTTTGGGATTGTGTCTGAATCTAGCAGAGAGTAAGCTCTGATATGTAGAACCTGCAGGTAGGCGACCAAGTTCGTGTATATGGAGAACTGAGGAGCAGCAAGGTAAGGGTTCAGTTCAGGCTCAGAGCTCACAAATTTCCAAGTTATTGTCTCCTAGTCTCATTAGCTGGGTTGAATGCTGGCCAGTTCTGGGGTGGTAAACAGTTTCTCAGTGACAATTATTAACAGCTAAGTCCAAGTTAACACTTACCTAGCACTCACTGAGTCCCAGGCACTGTCCTGCGCAGTTTACACATATTAATTCATTTCATCCTCCCCACATGCCTATGGGAATGTTGTCACCCCAGTTAACAAACAGAAACTGAAACACAGAGTAAACACTTGCCAGCAAGTGGTTAATTTGGGATTCAGACCCAGGCACGTTGGCTTTGAAGTTCATGCTCTTATTATAAGAAGCTAAATTTCCAGAAAAAAATTTATTGAAAACAATGTATTTCTTGATCTCAGGTATTTGTCTTAGTTTTTCAAAGATTATGTCATGTTGTTGAAGAGCTGAATATCTTAGTAAATAGAGTAAACCTAAGCTGTAACTCATGAAGCTGACAAAATGTATTTGATGACAATAAAAATAATAATTATATGGAACAGTTGACGTTTTGATAACTTTCCGGGGGTCAGGTATTCTGTAAGTGCTTTCCCTGTGTTATCTCAGGCAAATCTCCCCACAGTCCCACACAGCAGGAGCTCTTATTATCCCACGTTTACAGGGGAGGGACCTCAGCAAGGCCACGCAGCTAAGTTACAGGACCAAGATTCTAACCCTGGTCTATTTGACTTGAGTCCTATTCTCCACCCTCCCTCTCTTTGCTCCTTCCTCCTTTCCTTTCACTCCCCTTCTCCTCTCTCCCTCTTTTATTTTGGAAATTTTAACATCTATAAAACTGAAGTGAATCTCCTGTGTATTCACACCCCAAAGCCCCTTTTAAACACTGTAATAGTCTGCTTCCTTTATGGAACAGCATTTCAATAGAGGTAAGTGTAGGTTGCTGAATTAAAAAGAAAAACCAGGACCAACTTGCCTACGCTTGTCCCAAATAAAATACCAGATCTCCTTGAGTAACACAACGACAGGAGGGTTGAGTGGTTACAGACATTGTGACTATCACACTGCACTTCCCATGTGACCTAAAACCTAAGGCCACCAGAGGCCTATGTAACTGGACACATTCTCGACCTGAGAGGATAAGATCTGGGTCTTTGAGTAAAAATATTTGGATTGCTGTACTTAAAGGATTTATGTCAGGATGCATTTTTGAGGGTGTGCTCCTCTGCTCTGTTCTTTGAAGTCTTTGAGGTAGAAGCAAAAATATTTAGAAGCTGGGTATTCTAAAATAATTGACTTTTACAAACAATGGTCTCCAGGTATTGTCTCTACAATATTTATGAAGGATTATAAGTACAAACTGGTACATGCATGCTGTGCATTTTTCTCCTAAGTACTTGAATAATTCAATGTCTATGTCAAAGATCCTAAAATTTCCCAGGGAAGTTTAATGTTATAGAGCTTATATTGCTTAGGGAGAGATTTTGGATCTTTTGAATGTTATTTATTTTGAACTTTTATTTTAGCAGAGTGATCATGTTAGAAAATTGTTTAGCTTTAACTTTGAACTTTGGTTTCTTAATTTGCTTTGTTTTCCTTTGTTAGAATTCATGATAAAAATACTGAATATCAGGTCTAACTGCTTGTAAGAGGTCTTTTTGCTGAAGTTTTGTTGTTATTCTATTCTTCATAAAATATTATGGTATTTTCACTACAAGGAACTTTTCATCTGTAGTTTAGTTAAAATCCTTGGGCCTTTCTTTTTACTTAAACAATTGAGTACTTTTCTTCTCGCATTTGTGAGAATTAAGTAGATGGGGGTTGAACTATACAGTCTTTTATAAAAAATATGTTTTTATTGATTTTAGAGAGAGAGTAAGGGAGAGGGAGAGGGAGAGAAACAGCAATGAGAGAGAGAAACATTGATCAGCTACCTCCTGCATGCCCTCCAACTGGGGATTGAGCCCGAAACCTAGGCATGTGCCCTGACTGGGAATTGCATCCGAGACCTCTTGGTGCATGGGACGATGCTCAACCCACTGAGTCACACTGGCCAGGGCAGGTTGAACTACACATAGTTTTCACTGTTGAATGGTTGAATGTCTTGATTTAGTCTAAGGACAAAAGAGACAAAGTTATACATAATTGAAAAATCATTATAAGTAGATATTTGGTTATTGGATAGCAATACAGTAATATTCACATTTAGAGAGTAGTGTCTTATTTAAAAGTTGTTTTTATTTGATAATTATTCCCATAAATTTTGTGATGTATTTGGATTTGCTGTAGAAACATAGCCACTCAATTGGGCTTAGGGGTATTTTATTTATTTTTTAGATAAAAAGTTTTATTATTAATAGGAATTTTATTTGACTTCTGGCACATGGGTTTTGTTTCTACGCAATTATCAAGTCGAATTCCATGGACTACTTTGTTGAGAAGGATCTTAAGAGAGAATGAGGGCTCAGCAGGAGAGAACCTCGTGACTGCAGCAGTGGGCAGAAGGGGATATAGTACCTCTTATACAGCAAGTCTGTGTGCCCTGCGTCGAATGGGAAAGATTTCTCTGGAGATTAGAAGGAAAGTAGATAATATTTCTCACCTCAAAGTAAACCAGTATTATTTGTAAAAAGTGATTTAGTAAGATTTCTATCTACATAATATGTTCTAAAGAAATAGAAATATTGGTCTGAAATGGGAACAGAGTAAGAGCATCCTTCAGATTTTTGTGTTAATGTAAATACTGTCAAAAGTTATTAGTCAAGTACATTAATTTGGATTTTCTAGCATATTTTTTATTGTTCCTACACAGAATATTATTTTTTTCTTTTTATTTATTTATTTAATCCTCACCTGAGGATAGTTTTCCATTTTTTCTTTAGAAAGAGTGGGAAGGAGGGAGGGAGAGAGAGAGGGATAAAGAGAGAAATATTGACGTGAGGGAAACACATCAATTGGTTGCCTCCCACAAGACCCTGACCAGGGCCGGGGATGTACTGCAAGGGAGGTATGTGTCCCTGACCAGAATCAAACCCATGACTCTGGTCAGCGCGCTGATGCTCTAACTGTTGAACCACACCGGCCGGGCAGAATACGGTTTTTTAAAGTAGAGGGAATATTAACCCCAGTAAGTACTTTACTAAATATCTAGTTATTCTAAAGGATTCCACAGAGAACTTAATTTTATAATATTTCTGTTTCTTGAAAGAACAGTTGTGTGAAATAAAAATGAATATATTTATATAATAAGACTAATTTATAGATGCTGTACAGTAAAAATAACCCATGAAGGTAAAAAGAAAGTAACTGTCACATAGTAGGTACCCCGAAATGTGTGCAGAATATTGACCATGTATCAGCTTCTGAGTGGTTGTTTATATATGTGGCAGCTTTAAAAATGATCATGGTTCTGTGAAATAGATGGCACTATTTCCATTTTATCAATTTATTAAATTAGCACATTATTCAGTTTTTAAGCTGATGCTCCAAAGATAACTGACATGCTCAACATCACATGCCTTTTAAGTAGTGTAAGTGATTGCTTTGGATTCCCAAGTTCTCAGATACTTCTGTGTAACTACTTATGTAATTTCCTATAGGCAAACTAGATATCAGGAAATGGAACTGTTGACCAGAACAACTGTGATAATGTGTAACCTTGAAGATTAATGATATCCAGCAAAGATATATAAAAATTCTTGATGAATTTTTAAGAAATGACTAAATGAATAAAACTATATATAACTGCCAACTAAGATCTTTGTCCCTTGTAAGAAATTAATGAGGAACAACACTGATTGCTTAAGTTGAATTAGCCATCTATGATAATAGCACCAGTCACAACTCTTAACGTAGTGAGGAAAATTGTACATAAGGAGACATGAAAACACCTAGAGTAAGAGCAAAACCACAAATAACTAATCTAGAGTTTAAGTATGTAAAACTGTCCTAATGAGGATGAAGAGGCTGGATTATACAGTGGGTAATAAGAATGTTAAAGTAATATCATTACTGGAAGAGTAATATCATTAGTGGAAGAGATTATAAGAGAGAGTTCTATAGGTTCTATTTAAATAGGTCATTGATAAGTACATTATGTTCTGTTAATTGTCTTAGGAAATTCTGTTCCTAATTCCTTCTAGGAATGTCTATTTATGTTTAGTTTTCCGTGGAAAGGGTTCAAATAGTAAAAATACCATATATATCTACTAGTTTCTGCTTGTTTTGCTTGTATAGTTTAAATTTTCTTTAAGCATGTTAATTTTTTTTCACCGAAAACCACAACTGGTAAGATATCTTAGGTAATAAGCCTCACTATTGCCCCTAGCCTTGATTTTCATTCAAAAAAATAACAAGGAAGACTGGATTTGATAGACTAAGATCAAAAGGATGTCACAAAAGGATTTGATAAGTAAGTAGCTTAAATGTAAGAGAGGATGAAGTAGAATTAACTGAGAACCAATCGTCAAGGGATTTAGGAGTGTCCCCTAAACACAGGTCGATTAATAAGTCACCAAGAGAGAGAGCAGTAAAATTCCACCGTAGTCCACGTTCTTCAGCGGCAGGCGTTCCAAGCAGAGGGTTCAACGGATAGTTCTGTGCTCTTATTTTCAGGTGTGCTCTGGTGTCTGGAAAATGGACTTTTCGTTTTCTGAGGGAAATTAAGC